GCAGCCAGCTGCCGACACGTCCAAAAGCCACGTGCCTTTCCGCTTCCCCCAGTAAATAAGTGGTGTGAACTTAACGACAAGAAGTGGGGAGGGAGAAGGAAAAAAGCGGAAACCGCTTCTCCTGAATTTTGGTAAATTCTCCTAAGTTCCAGAATTGTCTCTTCCCAAAGCATCAGCTGAGCGGTTTAAACAGCGTGATTTCCAGGCAATGACGTAACACACGGCGGACGGTTTTTGCTCTCTGGGGGCAGACTTTATATCACCCTGCCCTAGTAAATTCTCACCACCAACAATGAGCATCTCTTCTTCAGAATAAGTTACAGAATATGCCCCGGCATCGGCAACGATTACAGTCAGATGTCACTGACTGTAAGTTTAACGAAGACAATGAAATATCCAAGCCTAGCACTAGGACGACTACGTTCTGGTATTAAGTGGGGTCAAAAGTAATTTTTCATCCGGTCCCACCTCCCCTCTGTCTCCACACCTACAAACACACCCAGATGGGAGGACAATAGATTAGTTAGTGGTAAAATACACACACTAAGCGTTAGCTGGAAGTCTTTTCAGAGACGCACACGCACAACAGAGTTTGCGGCAAAACAAAACGCGGTCACTGGTGCCATCTTTGAAGAACACACAAGATAACAGTACAGTGACTTTCTGACTCATCTGGATTAACAAGGTATGCGGAAGAAAGGCCACCATATTGCTTGCGAGAAAAGCGTTCATTATTTTTTCACACATTCCGTTACATTTTAGAGATTAATACGTTTTTAAACTGAAGGTTTCTGGAACTTCGTATCTCCTTCCTGATGGAAAGAAAGTTTGTGTCTTTAATCGATCACTGTATAGAACCCAGAAGACATAATCTGGAATTTGTGGCAATATATTTTCTTACCTTCATGACCAATCAAGCATTTAAGAACTCAAATCATGCTCTTTCTCATCAACTAGAACATTATACTTGTAGACGCGCATAAGATATTGTGTATGTTATCAAATCCTTATTTCATTTATGAAATGCCTTCCGTTTTTTCTTCCTGGGCACTTAAACACTTCACTCCTGACCCTGTCTGTATCCGAATCCACAAGGGTAATTTGTTTTATGCAGTCCTCAACTTCCCCTATCCAAAGAATCGGGTCTGTCGCGACACCAAACAACAGATTTTCAACACAATGTCATATGTGCGACAACACCGTATAAGCGAGACACGTGAACTTTGTTTTCGTGAGGAAACGTGAAGATAGGAACACGGACGTTGACCTGTGGGCTGTGACTTTCCTCCTCAGTAACCGGTAGAGGTGCCATCCAGGAGCTCTGCGAGGTTAGCAGAGGCTCCACAGAGATCTGGAAAAAAAAAAAACAAACCAAGAAAAGTCACATAGCATCACTAACCCATCTCACACCAGCGCGTGAGTCACGGACTTTCTGCAAGAAACACAGTTTTGAGGGAAGCACGTTTTAAAAACTTTTTTATCGTGGAAATTTTCAAACACACACACCTCCTCCCCGGTACCCCAAACGTGGCCTCCACACCTGCCAAGGCTCTGTTATCTTTGCTGCTGTCCTCCAGAATTTTTTCCGGAGTATTTTAAAACCAAAGCCCAGGGAGCGTGTCACTTTGCCCATGGCCTTGGGGGTGTTTAAGAAATGCCTTAAATAGAGGCGCAGCACGCTTGGCATTTAACCCAAGGAGCAGAGAGGCAAGGAGGGGGCTCTGAGACGCTCCACTTTGCCAACTGGAAGCAATTAACGTCCGCCCTCTCCAGAAAGGCTACGATTCTTTTTACTCCATAATTTATCAAAAACAGGAAAAAGACGAGGTTTTGAAAGTAATTATTTTGTGTAATATAATTCAACACCTCCATTCGCGTAGGGAAGTCTGCACGAAGAGGTAAAAATGCTTCTTCTTTAGACGGAAGCCGAACATCTCAAGATACCTGGTCCTTTACTCCATAGGTCGCATTCACAAGGATCACGCGTCAGATTCCTCAGTCTCACGTTTTCAGGGTTAAGATTTAGGAGCGGAGCAGAAGTGACACGTACCCAGAATATATTCGTGTATTTACATTTAGGCCCTCACACTCCAGCTAATGAACGCCTCCATAAAAGTGAGAGGCTCCATCCATTCCCAACCCAGAGTGGTACACCCTCCACCATCCGTGGGACACAGCTACCCTTTTAATCATGACCTTCTATCTTATTCAGATTTTAAAGCATCGTTTGGACTTGAAGACGTTAAACTGACAATGTGGCCGGGGTAAGTGCCACAAAATATTCCACCAGGAAGATCGAATACACTCACTTCTCTTTTTTTGCCTGGGGACAAACGACGACGACGACAGATTGTCTATCAGGTAGTCCCATTGCTCCGTCTCACACCCCAAGAGCAGGATGTATTTGACGCCTTTTCTTTTATGCAGTGCAGAGCGGTGAAGAGGTATCCACAGACCCGTCTGCGATGCTATCGTCTTTCACCGAGGTTTTCTTTATGCGTTCAAGGCAGGGTGCATACGTTCACGAAAACCTCACTGATGGGGCCTTTTTAAATCCAGACGGTCATCGCGAATGTAATATGCATTTTCTCCATGGTCCCCCATGTACTGGTCTGCGCACGGGGAGTAAACTGGACAGTCCTGTTAGGGTCCAGCGTCAATGAACTAGATGGGAAGAAGGTTTCACAACGTACACACGTATCAGATCGCCACGGTGCACATGTGAAACGCCTTACAGTTTATACGTCCATCAAAGCCCAATAAAGCCGAGGCTTTAAAATCCGCGAACGTGCTTTCATGTGCTCCTACGTAATTACCGAGAAGAAGGTGAAACGATCTACCCTCAAGAGAGAGAAAAGCAAAATTCATATATATATACACATATAACACACACGTGTGCACGCAGGCACACGCACGTATAGGTGAAGTGTACACAAAGTGTAAAAAGGAGCCGCCCTTCCGATTAAACGTCTAGTTCTAGAACCATCTATTTAAAAAAAACCGATCCCCCTAAAAGCAGAACGTACACACACCAGCAGCCGTCAGTGCAGCGCCTTGGACACAGCACGCTCTGCCTTGGGGGACGGTCACCGGTGAATGCGGCCTGGCGGCCTCCAGCACACAAGACACACACACACACACACACACACACACACACACACACACACGGCCCTGTCTTTAAAACGTTTTAAATCACGGAGCTCAATCGTAGCAAAGTTTCGGACAACAGCGTGGGATTTTTTCTACAACACGAGAGTGTCACCTTTTCCACGGGAATCCGAAAGCCTTCCAACCTGTGAAAACACATGCTTCTTTGTCGCCGTGGTCACCGAGGGCGAGCGTCCTCACTGACGCGTGGCTTTCGGTTTTCTGGCGATAATTTTTAAGTGTGAAAAAGGCGACCTCGTTACGTGGCGCTAACTTACTTCGACGGCGGGGACTTTGGGCTGGGAGGGAGTCTAGCCTCTTTGTAAGGTGACCGTGTTCTCACTTTTTAATTTACGGATGGTTTACAACAGCCATGAGGAGGCTTCACGGGGAAACACGACCCTGAAAAGGCTCGCTACGTTGCGGCCACGAGGCGGTGGCCCACCATGTACTCTCAGCAGCTCGGAGGGGCTGACGCTTTACAGTGGAAATACTTCACCAGTTTTTAAACAACTAAATGCTATTAAGACTCCGTAAGCTAAGGTTTTCTTCCCTGCGTAAATCTTAGGGTTTTGCCTTACACTCACGCTTTCTCGGGGCTAACGGTAATGCTCAGTTCCAGGGACCAATATGCAGAAGCAATGAAAAGGCAGTCACTATTATTAAAATTAAGTCAAACTGCTGCATTTAGGAAGAGGGTCTCTCCCCAGAATCTTGTCATTATTTGGGGCCACCGCTGCCGGGAAGAGTTGGTGAAACTTTCTCAGGCCCTTCTGTGAGGTCCGAACAGGTGTTTAGAGAGCAAACCAGTGGCCCTTGCCATAGGTGATTGTGACAAGCCCAGACCCTCTGTGACAGAAAAATAGGAAAGGAAGTATTTCCAATAGCGCGCATCCCATTTTTGCTCGTATCTTCAAGCACGTGCCCATCTCTGAATCGTTCGCAAAACTTCGAAAATATCGAGCCTACTTTCTTTGGAAAATCGTGGCTACGCACTTATTGATGGGAGGCTCACGAAAGCAACCTTTCGTGTCTGAGCTCAGTGAGACGGCTCTCCGGGCCCTGAGCAGTCCCGAGTATCTCCTTCTACGGTACACTTCAAACCCCCAATCAAACTGGATCATCTTTATTATTTTTTTTTTTCAAACTGGATTTTAAAAAGAAAACAACCCCATTATCTACTCAGAGGAAGAAAACTTCTTCCTGTTGATGTGGCTTTGTCACTTTGTCGCTTAATAACCTTTGATGACAGAAAACGTTTCTCCACAGATGGGCAGTAACTCTTATTTCAAGGACTGGGGCACTAAAGTTGATACTGTGGAGGAAGGTACGTTATGCTGTATTAGAAACAAAAAAAATTTTTTTTAAGATATCCCGGGAAAGAAACTTGAAAAAAAAAAAATACCCAGCACCCCTCGCAAATCGGCAAGGAAAAAAAGCTTTTAAAATCTCGTACTAAATAAAGATCCCGCCTGCTATCAGTTTAGGTTCCAGGCGAGTCATAAAGAGATTCTCCTTCCTGGTCCAGGAGGGAGAGAGAACCCAACCTCTCCGAGTTTGCAAACTGGAAAGAGAAAGTGCTTTGGACCCCGCCGGTGCTGATGGGCCTGGGCCCCCTTTACCGTCTTTAGACTTCCTGGCAAACGCAGAAGAAAGCCAGCGCCCACGGAAGAGCCACCTAGCCCCGTGGTTTTGTTTATTTGTCTTCTCTCACATGGGGTCTTTCTGACTCAGTGCGGAGCCGGTGGTGGTGGTGGCGGGGAGGCAGCGAGGGCGGTTTGAAAAAAAGATGCTGCCGCGCCGGGTGAGGGGGGTGGGCGAGCGGAAGACACATGTTACATCAGACACAGTACCTGCTTTCTCACTGCACAGCTTGTCAGCGAGGTCGTGTGCCTCCTGGGCGATAAGTGAGAATATCTCGTCTTCATGCTCCTCTATAATAGCTTCGCACTGCGGAAACGTAATAACAACATATGTGGATAGATCCGCGCGCACAGGGCTCTCGTGAGAAGGTCGCACCAACATTTTATTAGCTAAAAACAGAAAACCGTGTTACCACCGTGGCCCGTTTTCATCAGCCCCTTTGCTTTCGGGACCTCACTGCCTCGGATGGAGCCTCGTCCCCAAACGTTAATTGCGTCATTTTCCTGGGACTTAACTAACCGATTAGTCGTGTTGAAAGACGAGGGTGAGGAGGAAAGCGGTTCTTTGTATCTGTGCCTCTTCGTTACATTGGAATGCGAAGAAAAGGAAGAAAGGGGTCTCCTAGGTAGAGCCGGGGAGTCTTAGCTTTCTGGTTTTGTTTGGGTTTTCTAGACTCCTTCAAAGAACCCGGCTCCTGGAGACGCTTAAACCAGTTTCCCTCAGATTTAACATAACAATCCATTTTGTGGTTTTAAAACAGAGTCTGAAGTGTGAAAACAATTAAGCTTTCTCAGCAATCAAAACAAACCTCGTCGGTTTCACTGTGGGTAACATGCTTGGCAGTGACTTGGCCAAGTTTCTTTTCAAACCATCTAGCGCTCCGTTGATAATTTCACTTTGCTTCTAGCCCCAAATCTCACTTTTCAGAGAAGAGGGAGCCCAGAGGCGCCCGGGGCATTAAAAAAATCTTAAATTCTAACTGAAGGACGCGTCTGTGCTCAAGACCCACAGGGTTACAGCTCCTGGAACCGTGAAGCTACAGGAGGGCATTCGCTTGAGACTTGGCAAAGCACAGTCCTAGTTCATTCAGCAAGACTTTAAAATTTTTCAATGGCATTTAAAAATATGCAAATTCCACCATAACGTGTTTATTTAAAACCTGTGAAATACAAGCACACGTACTCACCGCAATTCCTGTTCCAGGGTACTTTTACCTTGGAGTTATTGCCCTTACTTTTTAATTAAAATGAAATCTTCAGAAGTCAGCTAAAGCCCCTGTTTCGGGGCGTCAGCATGCCTGACATTTCGGCCAGTGTGTGAACTTAATACATTTTTTAAACAGGCTTTGCCATCACTCGGTCTGATTCAACAGCGTTAAGTAAAGCGAAATATATTGGAATCTATTTTGCCAGGCACATTCTAGCAAGCCAGAGGCCAGCATTCACTTAAAATAAACACCATACCGGACGGGAGTTTGGCATTAAGCCAACTATCATACCTAAGCCTTTGTTTAACTTAGTTTGTGCTAAAATACTTGAATTAACTCGGGAAGGAAATTCTCTGTCTTCTGTGAAGCCTGAAGGGGGAGAAGGGAAAAAAAAAAAAAGATGTTTGTCACTCTTCCTCTATCATTTGGCTATAAATATTTGAAAACGACATTCATTCTAATTTGGATTTTAACCTAGGAGCCACCACCCCTGATTCCTTCTGTGGGAACCTGGAAGAGACCTGCCTCGGCAAGGGGGGCCACTGAGACCCCTCTCTGAGCCCCACAGGGGCAGAGCAGGCGCGACCCTCGGCTTCAAGTCGCTGGGAGCTACAACAGCACTTTCTGCGAAACACCGCCTGTCTGCACAGCCCCGCGAGGTGTCTCAAAGGCAACTTCCCAAATGCATGGTCAACACTGACGCCGCCGCGGGACCACAGAGCAGCCAGATAACCTTTTAATGTTCAAGGTCTGGAAACTCAACCACAACCCAAGCAAACGGCCAAAAAGAATACCCCAAATGGTGTTCCTGGCGCGTGGGATTCACCTGCGAGGAACGGGAGCTTACCGCGAATTTCAAAGGTCTGTAAGCATCAGAATAAAAATGGAATTTTTTAAATTCTTTGTATATTCTGTCTCCTTTCCTTGGAGCAAACCTCTTAAACTTCTTCGCCCGAGTCACGGAATCTTCTTCCAGCTGGTAGTGGTTCATCCGCTCGCACACTTGGTCCAACAGGTCTGTTAGGAAAACCTCCGAGTGGGCTAGGGGGGTCTGTGGAGACAAACGGGGCAGGAGACCTGCCTTAACGTTCACGCGGTCTTAGCAGATCGTGCGCCGGACGCGTCCGGGGCCGCGCGCCACCCCCAGGAGCGCCGGGAGGCATGACCTTCCTCGCACAATGTGCTTGCGGTTGGGTTACTTACAGAACGTGGGAAGTTCGCTTACACTGTGCTTTTGGAAAGGGGCGGGTGTTTGAAAGTGGACGGGAAGGAAACCCCTAGATTGGAACTGGAAAGTGCACTTACACAGGTAGTCCTTTTTCAAAGTCATTGCACATGCAGAATACGGCACCGAGGACAGAAAATGGCTGTGATTATTTACTCGCCGGA